ATGGCATTTAGCCAAGGCTCAGCATCTTTAGAGGTTAACTCCTGAACCTCTTTGAAGCTTGAAGGTTCCCATACCTTCTCTGAGCTACTAAGAACAGCAGTTGCTGTCTTAGCAAACTCATCAGCAAATCTCTTTGGAGGTCTGCCCTTTGTGGCTCTTTCAGATCTGCGTACTAGACGCAAATCTTCTGGACTCACCTCCTCCTTCTTAGGAGAAAAGTGACCAATGGTGAACAGTGGTTGTTCCAGTTCATTGTCAGACGCATCAGATGATCTGACTGAGGCCTTTGCGCTCTTGTAGTCTGCTGTGTCATCACTGTCACTGACATCAGCAGCAGCGCCGCCCACTGAACTGGAATCCGAACTCTGATCATCATCGTCATCATCATCCTCAGCAGCTTCCTCAGCTTTAGCTGCTTCTTTGACACCACCTTCATCCTCCTCTGGGTAACTCTGGAAAATTCCCACATTTTCCCTCCACTTAGGATTGTACTCAACACTCTTTGTGAACTTAATGGACTTAGAGTTGGTCATCCATACCCTGTATGCACCTTTTTCGTACCCCATGAACAAACCATGTGCCCCACGCTTCCCAAGCTTGTTGCTCTGTGGGGTGTGTACCCACATGTCAGAACCAAAGATTCTCATGTGTTTGATGTTGGGTTTCTTACCAAACATCTTCTCATAGGGGGTACAACCAATAGGTGATGACAATCTGCGATTAAAAGTGTAAACAAAATTCGACAGAGCCTCCCCCCAAACTTATCAGGAGATTGGCATCATGCAACAATGTTTTCATTCCTTGCAGCAACGTTTGATTTGCTCGCTCCGCAAGCCCATTCATCCATGGCGATCTAGGCGTTGACAAGTCATGCTGGATTCCCTTCTCAGTCAGAAAAGCTTCAAACTGCTGAGAAGTGAACTCCCCGCCTCGATCAGTAAACAGCCAATACGTTTACCGTGAACATTCTCCAACCAAGCACAGAATGCCTTGAACCTAGGAAACGCTTGCGATTTCTGCTCGAGCATAAACACATGAATGTACCTGGAAAAAGAATCAATTAGAACCATGAAGTACCTTGCTCCACCCACAGAGGGCGCAAGTGGACCAACCAGGTCTGCGTGCACTAGCTGGTAGGGTTTGGAAGCCTGCCTGCTAGACTCCTTGCCTTTTGGAGCAACCTTCACCTTGTTCTCTGCACAAGATACACATTTCATGTGAAACTTACAGGGTTAGATAGATAGATAGATAGATAATACTTTATTCGGCTATAAGCCCACAGGATAAAACAAATCAATAGATAAAAAGTCAATAGATAAAATCAATAGCATTTTACAATCTAAAATATCAACTAAAATATTTCAGCGCATAATCTCTAAATATAACGTGTTATGGCCTTGAAGATAAAGATGGTGCATAGAGGTTTCTGAATTTTTAATAGTCATGCAGCATTCCCTGAAGTCTTTTATATGACAGAACTGAGATCAGGAATCTAGCAACCTGTAAAGTTCTATAAGAGTCAATGTCCTGGAGTAGATAAGCTAGATGTAATTCAGGTGGTTTAGCAGCAATTTCCAGAATGATTGAACTCAGGATCCTTGATCGGGGAACATTATATAAGGGGCAATTAAACAAGATATGATAAAGGGATTCTATCGATTTGTTGTCACATGCGCACAAAACAGAGATTTTACCGTTAGAAAATCTATTGCTCAGCACATTTGAGGGGAACACATTAAATCTGGCTCTAACAAATGCGAATCTATGCGACGCAGCCGATAAAGTAGACAGATATCGAGGTATCTGGGACATATATGTAATGCCCTGATATATCGGGGAACATGTACCTCCACCTGTGGTAAGATTTTGTTGTAAATCTACCTCCTCCAGTCTTTGTTTGATGACCTTTTTAGCTGTAATTAGATCTAAATTAAGTATATCGGAGGGAGAGATTCCATAAGACAACAGTTTGGAATGGATTTTTGTTGCCCATGGGCTGGTGAATTCGTCTCTCCAAAGGCACTGAATAAGATGGTAGTTTGGCAATTTATGCCAAAGGGACAGCCAATAATTAAAGGCATGTCTCCACATCAGAATCTCAAGGGAGGGGGTCTTAAGTTCTAAGCGAATGGCAGAGTTGCTTACACAGGAGGGTAGTTTCAAAAGGCGTCTTAGAAAAGATTTTGCAATGTCACCAGAGGCAAGAGGTTTACAAAGACGCCCCATAAAGGGACCGCATAGGCCATAGTTGCAACCACTTTTGCACTATAAACTTTTAAGGCAGATGGAACATGCATAGCCCCCTCCGTAAAAAAGAAGCGTAGTATAGCGTATATAAGGGCTTTCACCTTGTTTTGTAGATATGTGATATGCGCTTTCCATCCCATATTATACTGGAAGTAAATTCCTAGATATTGAAATTTGTAAACTTGTTCAATTGGCTTCCCCTCAAGTTCCCATCTATACAGTTTACGACTCCTGGAAAAAATTAGGACTTTAGATTTGGAATGGTTAATAGTAAGTAAATTTGTTTGGCAATATGATGCAAAAATCTTAAGGGCCCTCCTCAAACCGATTCGAGAATAAGAGAGGATCACCGCATCGTCAGCGTACAATAATAAGGGGCAGCGATAGTCTGCAAGCCTGGGTGCATGAATGGAGGTTTGGGCCTCAGCTAGGGGCGTCCTCATGTCACTAATATAAAGGTTAAAAAGATGGGGGGCAAGGATGCACCCTTGTCGTACCCCCTTGTTTATTGGAACTGAGTTTGTGAGATCGCCCTCAGGTGTTAACCTCACCCTAGCAGCCGTCCCTTCATGTAATTTAATCAATAGCCACAACAGCCTTTTATCTATGCCCCACTTTGCCAGTTTTTCCCATAACAGCTCTCTAGAGATACTGTCAAAAGCCGCCTTCAGGTCTATAAACGCGGCACATAGAAGACCATGAGTAGGGGAAGAATATTTCCGCGCCAAATGATATAGAATTATAGCATGGTCAGTAGAAGTGCGATTTGGTCTAAACCCGACCTGTTCATGGCCTATCAGATTGGAATCTTCGGCCCATAGGGTTAGTCTGGTTAGCAAGAAGCGAGTGTAGATTTTTCCGATGATTGATAATAAACTGATATTACGATAGTTTCCTGGGTCCTCTGGTGGTCCTTTTTTATATAGGAATTATGATGGACTCCTTCCATGATGTAGGTATCTGGCCCGTGGCATTGATTGTATCAAAGATTTTTGCAAGAATTTTAGCCCACCATATTGGATGTTGTTTAATAGCTTCCGCCGGGATCAGATCGGGCCCTGGGGCTTTATCAGTTTTCAGTTTGGCAATTAAATCTACTATTTCCTCCGGGTCAGTATCTGGCCATATGGGCAAGTTACTTGAGAGAGTATCAGATTGGATGTTAGAGATGTCTGTCTGGGAGAAATATTTTCTTAGAAATTGTTCCCATGTCGGGGCTGGGATAACCGTCAATGGGTATTTCCTCGATCTTTTGTTGATTAAATTCCAAAAACCGCGAGAGCTGCGAAGCTTAGAGGCAGCAATCAGCGCTTGCCAACGTCTTAGCTGCCACTCGTGCTTGGCTGACTTCTGAGCCTGTTTGTAAGCAATTTTGGCCTGCAAGTACTCTGGGGGGAGAGTTTCAGCTCCAGAGGCTTTATATCTGTTGTAGATACAACAGAGAGAGAGTCTAGCTTGCTTACATTTGGCTTCAAACCAAGGAGCACCGAACCTGGGTTGATCTCGTTTTGCGAGGTGAGCCGGCATCGTAAAGAAGCTAGTTAAATCTGCAGAGAAGTGGAAGAACCACTCCAGTATCCTATTTGGTTCAGACAGCTCCGCCAATGAAACAATAAGGGATTCGGAGCTATTCCTCTGGAAGAATTCTGCATATTTTTGGGCCTGTTTCATGGACCATTTAATGCCTCTTACTTGAGCTGTGGCATTTAAACCTACATGAATTGGGTGTGTTCCGCTAACCGGGTGCCAGTCAAGCGTTAGCTTGGCCGCTAGAGGTAGGTGATCACTGGATTGTACATTATCTACTTTGAAATAAAAGAAATTTGAAAATAGGTCTTCTGAGACTAGAAGATAATCTAGGACACTATTAGATGTTGTGCCCAAATGAGTGAATTCACCTGGCACGTCCGGAGGGCAGTTGCCATTTAGAATGTTCAAATTCATACGAATGGCCAATTGATAAAGAAGGACTCCCGCCTCATTCACTCTGTTGTCCTTGGATCTTCTTGATGTGAAAGAGATTAAATCAGATTTTGGGTAGGGGGGAGATACCCACCACTTGGCCTTAATTATCCCATTCCAGTTGGCAGCTGTACGTGCATTGAAGTCACCACCCATTATCGATGGAATATTAGGGTACTTAACATAGCATGCCAATAAATGATCTTCCAGAGAATCCCATCTATAATGAAGGTCTGATATCAGACCACCTGGAGGAAGATAAACATTGGTGATTAATAGTGAGAGTTTTTCACTTGAAATCAGACCAGTAAAAGCAAAAGGAGGAAAGGTATGAACTAGCGAGAGTTTAGCTCTCATTTTAAGCGATATGGCGATTGCAAGACCGCCACTGGACCGGCCACCTTTCTGGGAGGGGATAGCTGGAAGTGATATCAGTTCAAAGCCATTTATATCTATTTTATCTTCTTCCCATGTTTCTTGCAAAAGGATTATCTGGAAAGAGTTTATATAGGACAGAAATTCGGGATCTAATCTTTTCCTTTTCCAGCCAGCAATGTTCCAACTTAGGACTGCTAGCAGGGGACTTCTATGTTGTTCTTTTAACTGTCAAAATGGAGGGGGGGCTGACTCTCTGTTAAAGACAGAAGATGTAACAAAGAAGTCAGTTATTTTACTTTGGGAAGATGGTAACTGTGAGGCGCCCTGCAAATTAAAGTTTTTAACAATTTGGTTCGACTGTTGGCACACCGTGGATGATCCACTGAAAGTAGATCTCTGAACAGGAAGTCTCTTCATTTCGAAATTCTTGGTACAACTTGACAGAGAAATACCCAGGTAGGGGGAATTGAGTCCGTCGGGGTAAACCCTCTCGTAGATTTGTCATCCGACATTCGGATTATTTTATTGATGCGTCCCATCGGGTCTTCAATCATTTCTGACGGCGGGTCCCGAGGTGTAACATTCGCAGTTTCCTTTGAAGGAGGTAATTGAGGGGGCATCACGGAGGTGGAAATTGCGGAAGACTCTCTCAGGGGCATCACTTGTGGACTACTTCTATATCTGGACGAAACTGGAGAAGATTCTAGCTCTGGCATAGATGAGTGAGTTAAAGAGGGATTTGAGTCAAGCAGGGAAATCAGAATTTCGTCCTTAGGTATGTTGGTTGATGAATATAGATGAAGGTTCAGTGAGGATGGCAGAGCCTGGTCGTCTCGTGATGTAGCGCACGCTGCAGAAGCAACTTGAAGATTTGAGTCTTGTCGGATGGTTTTTGAATTCAGAGTGGGGCTGAGCTGAAGAAGGTCAACCACTTCTGTCCGGTGGGCCCAAGTGGGATTATTTGAGACATCGTTAGTATCTTCCCCTCTATGTTGAACTTGCAAAAGCTGAGATTTAAGCGTGTCAAATCTTTGCATCATCACCGACTGTTCTTTCGGAGGAAGGGCTCTGAATGAATCAATAAGTTCCCTTTCGTCGAGGGCAGTCTGCAGATTATCATCCTCATATATAGCAGTTTGAGAGGGTATCGAGTTTGGTCGCGGATGGCACGCTGCAGAGTCATCGCGATTGGGCCTGACAGTATTTTGAAGTAAGGCAGAGTCTCTTGTCCTAATGTCCTCACCGCCAGGGCACCTATTTAGAAGGGGTTTGATCTTGCTGTCTGTAAAAACCCTCGTTGCTACAATGTCGGCCATGGACAAAAGCGTTTTCCTCCTAACAATAATAGATGGTATCTTTTCAGAGTGGAACGCAAGTATCACCTTCAAGAAGTTGGTCTGCCGGGAAGGGGCATTACAGCATATAGGTCAATCTGATATTTCTTAATTTTTAAAAGTTTGCTTAAGCAGTCTTTAGCTCCTTCTAGCGTTGACCATCTTCCTATTTCCGACCTGACAGATAGGCAACTTTTCTTGGGTTGCAAAGTTAATATCTGATTGTTCAATTGGGAATTTAAGACATATTTAGTTTTAGTCTCCAGTATTTTATCTGAATGGGGGTGAGGCAATAAGTTTTTGACCTCACAAACTGAGGATTGTGTTGTTGATTCAAGTTTTCCGATTTTCAGCAGGATATTGGATAATTGTGAAGATACCTCGTCCAGCCTTTTAAAAATACAGTGAAGGGTCTTAATTACTAAGTGTAACTGCTCACATCTGGGGAACTCCCCATAACAGATGCCAAACCATCATCCTGCGATGAGAGTTTTTCTTTCGTATTCTCCTTTACAGGCTTTACATTTGAAACATTTTGAGTCATCGGAATCGGAGTAGCTTCTAAATCAATTAGAGGTTGGAAGCGATTTTGGGTTTCCACTGCAAAGCCTTGCTCGGCATGGTCACTCCCTCCTCCAATCCGGTGTGGCACCAACCTTGATAGTTTTGGTTTAGGGGATGATAGGGGCTCGTCAAAGTCTCTCAAGCGTTTTTCTGACCCATGCTTTCCTCAGGCCAGAGATTATACGATTCTTAAAATAACATAACACTTAACACGCAATTAAGATAATGGCGTTCTCAACTCCTTTAGCAGCTAAAGCCAGCCCGCTGATATGAGAGAAACAAAGAGCGGCTTGCAGCAGTCTGGAGCAGGGCCAAATCTCTCAAAGAGTTTCCATAGTATGCGGCTGCAGCAATTATAAAATACTTCAAAAACTGACTGAGTCAGTTGCGATAAAAGTATAAAAGATTAAGAGAAGATTAAAAGAAGTCCGAAGAGCACCGGTAAGCGCGTCTTACCTCGGCGCCATGTTGGCTCCCCTATCCAAATATATCTTACAGGGTTTGATGTTCAAACCCTCAACCATCTCTGGCATCTTGGCCAGTGCCTTCCAAGAGAGGTGACAAAACCTTCGATGTGCATCGTGAATGCATCCTGCATGAAGAACTTTGTTAGTTTGTGCAACACAACAAGAATCAACATTAGACACAACAGCAGCACTGTCGTCATAAGTTATACAGAACAAGTCATCCATAAACTTTGCATGCAAAATGTCCTCTTTGCCTTTTCTGATGACACAGACGCTCCTCTTGAAGGAAATCTCAAAACCACGCCCAGTCAACTGCGGGACACTGAGCAAATTGTCTGCAGCGCCTGGAACATACAGTACATCTTTGATGGTCGTGTGCAGACTTGCCAGTCTCACAGTCCCTTCTCCTGCGATTTGCAACGTCTTTCCGTCAGCCAGGTGGATCTCACCTTCTTGAGGTTTGAAGGAGATAAAGAGATGGCGGTCTTTTGAGACATGGCGGGTACAGCCTGAATCAACAACAAACCTGGCTTTGGCCTTTGGAGCAGTCTTTGCAGCAAGCAAAACCTTGTTTTCCACCGGCGTGGGCTTTTGCAGCTTGCCCCCCTGCTCCTGGCCATCAGACTTGCCTTTAGCCTTTGGTGAAGCTGTGCCAGCAAACAAAAGCTTGTTTTCCACTGGTGTGGGCTTTTGCAGCTTGCCCCCCTGCTCCTGGCCATCAGACTTGCCTTTAGCCTTTGGTGAAGCTGTGCCAGCAAACAAAACCTTGTTTTCCTCTGGCGTGGGCTCTTCACCCTCCCTCTGCTTCTGGCCATCTGCAGGCGTCTGCCTCTGTTTACCTTTGCCCTTCCGGCCTCTGCAAAGGCGATGACCTTGGCTCCCATGAGAAACAGAGCTCTCAGCTGCCGACTCCTTGGCTCCCCTGGAGGCTGGAATGCTGCCTGGGATGACGTGACAGTCAGCTCCCCCTGCAGCTTGCAACCGGTGCCCTCAGCATCCCTGCATTCACTCGCATTCTGGGAAACAGCCAGAACCTCCGATGCAGTCAAACTCTGGGCTGGGATGACTGGCAGATGGGCTACTTTCAAAGCATGCCACATCTTACGTGCAGTGGTGTTGCCAGCAAGCGTTTTTATTTCCTCCAGAGAGACGGACAAGACTATTATGTCTATCGCCTTCGAATTTTCGGCCTTCCATCTATCTGTCAGAGGAACTGGAGGGGCTTCACACACAGTATGCCACACTCCAAACTGACACAGCAAACTCTCACACCATTTTGCCCAGGTCTGATAGTTGTGCCGATTTAACTTTGGGCACTCAGCAGCTTCAGAAGCTTGGAAAAACTCCATTCCAGCTTTTTATTTGAGCCGTGAGTGTTATTCACTTCAGAGACGTCTTATCTCGGCAGCTGATTAATCACGAAGCCTTTGGCGCGGCTTCCAGATCCATTAATCCTGCCGGACATCAAAAGCTCTTGCCACGGCAAACAGAAAAGCCTTACTTTCACTTTTCCTCCACATACCTTTCAGCAGTCCGTCGCAGTCTTACTCTCCTGTAAGTGCCGTGAATCTGGGCCCATAACCTGTTGTTGGGATACTGCCAGGGAGATAAAGTCCATCAAGGCCCCCAAGCCGTCTGCCGGACGATCCATCGACCTCCCGTAGGCACGCAGCGACATGAGTTTCTAGAAAATATCTTGCCACATTCCAGAGCTCATGCACGCTCTATCAGCAGATAATGCACAGCCAAAAAGTTGCACTCAGGAGAGCATTATTTACAAGTTTATTCAGCGTTGATCAGAACACAGAAAAACATGACTGCCTGCTTTAGTGTCTACGACACAGAGAAAAAACGAAAGCAACAGAAAACATAAACATCCTGTGAACAGGAAATACGCAGACTCTGACTCACAAAGCCTGCTCCCTTTTAAGGTGGAACGGAAATATCCTAACAGGTAAATGGTGTTTCTGTGTAGTGCTCTGGTTCGCCAGAAGTGGCTTAGTCATGCTGGCCACATGACCTGGAAGCTGTATGTGGCTCCCTCCGCCAATAAAGCTAGTTGAGCACCGCTAACCCAGAGTCTGTCATGACTGGACCTAATGGTCAGGGGTCCCTTTACCTTTATTTAAAGGAAAGGAGATTCTCATCTCCCAGTATTAACATATGAGTGTACCATAATGATATTCAGGGATTTATTGCATGATACTGACCTGATCTTAAAATGGAGGAGGAAGGAGTAGAATTGATCTTCTGAGTTTCATTCCTCTCTGTCATGGCCAGTAAACCACTGGTGCAGCTGTACTAAAAATGCTAGCTTTAAAATATACACATTTTAACAAAACACATATGTATCACACACACACACAAAAGCCATGCTCCATTTTTTATTCTTCCAAATTGTATGGAAAATAAAAAATTAATAAAAAAACCAAGAGTGAGAAGGATCCAAACACACACCGTCTGAAATACTAGAAGGGTGGTGCTCTTGGTATGTAGCATTTTATATACTATGCATTTTGCAATATTTTGTTCATTTGTTTCAGTATTTAAAATCCATTCAAAAGTTCCCTGTTTGGGGGGGGGTACACCTATCAGTCAATACTACTAATCTAACACTCTCTCTTCCTATAGCAACAAAGAATAAAGAAAATTTCCCAAAAATCACAGGGCAAGGAAAGGACATATCCTTGCAAACTGTAAACTTCAAAGCAGCTTGCGAGGCCCATGAACCTAAGCCACCAGACCTTTCCATTGCTACTTTAGCATGTAGCTTATCATTCTTTAATTTGGAAGAAAGCGGAAATCTCACTGCACTCTTTCCTTTCTTTCAGAGCTCCTCTGGAAAATATTGTTAAAGAGGCAACAAAGTGTTGATCATTTCTGGAAGGCAATCAGATATCTCTGTAGTCTAAGGATAGTTCTTGCTTAATGAATATCGAAGATGATTTTTCAGAGGAATGTTGCAAAAAATTACTGAATCTCATTCTATGAGGCAAAAAGAGCTATGGTAAATATAACAGGTTTCATTATGTATCTCAATTCTCTGTGGAATTTGCGTTCCACAGAGGCTCTACTCTGGGATTAGTTCATTAGTAGGCTAAACTCTGCGGAAGAGAGAAATATTCTGAAGTTTGTCCACCTTTGTATGTACATGCATCTTATTTGCATAACCTTTCCCACGACATTTAGAAGGGGGGGGGAGAGAGAGAAAATGAGTGTATATGCATACAAATGAGTTTCATTTTTCTTGTATTTTATATCATACACATGATTGTGGCAGTTCATGATGTTCTGCAGTGCATTGTTAATAGGTTATAGCACTTCCTAACATTAAGGAACACATCCTAACACGTAGCTTGAATCAACTCCTATTAAATAGTGGTCTGTCCTTTTCTCATTAATCACACTCTCATTTAGCTGCTGGGGGGTTTCTCGGATCAATTAAAGATGGTGAAATATTTTCCACCACTTTCATCAGCACAGTTTGCAGAGTCTCACTGATAAGGCTGCCTAACTTTAAGCTCTAGGGTTTATCCCTTGGAGATCAGGTCCCCATGAGTTTGAATACAGGTATGCTGATGAAATAGGTTCAGTGTATAAAGTACACATGCAAATCTCCCCATGAAAAGATAATATAATTTATCTTTAGGTCTTCTTTTCACATCGTCTTGTCCCAACACCTGGCCAGTCCTCATGGTAGTCATGATGGGACCAACTATTTTCAAGTGCATGATCTGCATCATTTGTGAGTATAGCCAGATCACAAAATGAAAATGGACACAACGTTTTAAAATATGTACTTTTCTTTTCTTTTCAGGGTTTTTCTTTAATGAAATAGTTCAATGTGTATATAATTTATTGATTTTAATTCTACCGACAAAAATGTCACATTGCCAGGATATGTGATAAAGAAATGCTTTTTTGTTCTTTCTTTCACTTAGTAAATTTTTC